ACATTCGCAGCGTCTTGAGGCGGGCGTCAGAAAAATTACGATGTAGTTGGCCTTGTTTTTTACTAGAACGTTTCTTGTTACAACCAAGTAGTATTAGAATTGGTAAATATATCCACTTCGGTTCGCTCAGAATTATTCCAATACCCACTTCGATCCGATCTGAATTGTTTTGATATCCACCTCCGATGCCTCGAGGCTTCGCGAGTCTTGGAGCCGCTCCAGACCGACCCCCCGCGGCGCCGCACAACGCCGCCGACCCCCCCCGAGAGCTGCAGGGGCGGCCGCGCATAGGGGGCCGAGGGCCTCGCGATCAGGGGGGGGCAGGGGGTCTTGGATGGGGGGGTGGGGGATTTCAGAACGCAAGAGCAGCGGGGGAGGGGCGGGCCGAAAAAAACCCAAGCGCCGGGGGGGCGGGGGCGGGGGGGGGGGCCCAGGCGGGCCGAAAAATTCGGAGCGCCAGCGCGGGAGGGGGGGGGGAGGGAAGGGGAGGGGAGGGAGGGAGGGAGAGAGGGGAGATGGGGGGGGGGGTGGGGAGGGGGGGGGGGGGGGGATCGGCGCTCCGAAAAATTCAACCCCCCCCCCCCTCCCCCCAGTCTCCTCCTGCCCCCCCCCCGTCCACGCCACCTGTCGGAGCCTCCGCGGCGCTCGCTCGGGGCCGTCGGAGGCCAGGGGGCTCGCGGCCGGCAGCAGGCAGCGGGCGAGTCGCGGCTGGGGGGCCCGCTCCCTCCACCATATACGCTCTCCTCCTGGTGGCGAGACCCTTGGCGGCTGTCTCAACGCCTCCGAAGGCTGGCGCTAGAGTCCCTGGAATGAGTGGCCCGTGGGGGCCTTCCCTTATTGTTTCCTGTCAGCCTGTTCGTGTCTGCTTATATCCGATCCTCCCACCCTCCGCCCTTCCTTCCCCTGCCTCTGCCAGCTCCTCTGCTCCTTTCGCCCCCCCCCCCTCCCCCCTTCCTCCCACTGCCGTCGTCACCCGCCTCCTCTCTCATTCCCAACCGTCCTTTTTGGTGCAAGTCAGTTGAGACAGTTGGCATATGCAAGGTCCACAAGGGGCCATGGGCACTTCCAGCAGGAGAGAATCAATGAACTGTTCCAAATTGGGCGAGCTTGCTTGATGGCGCCAAGATGGCGATGGAGAAAAATCCTCACGAGAAAAACAGGACGGTTTGGATCGCTATCGAGGCCGGTTGCGACTCGGCCGTGGAGTTCGACCCGAATTTACCAGACGATGTTAAAGACTACGTCATAGAGCTAGGCATCGCCACCAACGCCAGCACATTGACGGCCACGGTGGTCCAGGCGTTCATGCCCACCGACACTATTCTTAGTGGATGGGCGATCCAGAAGGACAAGGTAAGTGTCACTGGTGACGGTTGTGGCGGGTCGGCGACGCTGTGCGCTCGCAGGCATATCTACGCCAGCACTGTGTTCTCTGGCCGCTGGCGCTCACAGAACGCGCTTGACACAGCGATCAACGCCCGCGACCTCTTGGTAACTACAATGACATCAGCAGGCATTTCAATTCGGGGCCAAATGATATCTCATGTCGAATCAAAGGCTGCCTCCTCCTCCACCGCCTCCTCCTCCTCCTCCACCGCCTCCTCCTCCTCCTCTACCGCCTCCAACTGGCCGAAACAGATGGAAACACATCTAGAAATAGTATGATCATGCGAAAGACGACGGCCCGACTTTCTTTGTTGAAGCTGGAACCTACGAAACCCCTCGATGATGACACCCCAGGACAGAGCGCGAGGGGGGCGAGGGAGGAGCCCGCTCAGACCATGAAGGCCGAAGAGCAGGCAGACTGCAGGAGCTCAGATTTTCCACGGTCCGCACGAATTTCTTGGATCGGCGATGGTCCCCCCCTGGCGGCGCGGGGTCCAGCGCCGATCCGAGGAATCCGCGCAGGCCTCCGAAAATGCGGACCACCTCCGATCATCTATTAATCATTGTGATGTCTTACGGTGGGGGCATTGGACAAAAAATCCTTAGATAAGGAATTCAGGGTCTGGAAGCCGGTGAAACTCCACTCGTGGATCGGCCATGGATATCACCGCCACCCCCATCAGGTAAGGAGTCCTCCAGGGTCTGCAGCCTCCTGGGCACATTCCTTAACGAACGCCCCCCGCCGCATTCTTCGGGGAAGTGCTGCATCGGAGCAAATGTTAACTATTCGCTCTTGCCTCCGCAGGCTTCCGCTGGCCTTCCGCCGGCCGAGCCGGCGCCCTTCCACCGCCCTTTACAACGCCAGGTACTCCGCAGATCTCATGTGGGGCCTCAGCGAAAATCTGCAGAACATCGGCGCGCACCATGCACCAACCTGCCCTGGCTTTCGCAAACATGATCTACCAAAATCCGCGTTCCTGGCGGGTCCTGGCCCCATCGATGCGGGTAGTTTTTCCTCCCAGGTCCATGTTTGATGGTTCCAGGGAACCAGAAAGCCTCCCGAGGGCCGAAACTAAAGAAAACATGCGGGCTGGAAAAATCAGCTCGTCGGAGATCTGGGCACAATGCGCCGCCAGCTTCCGTCAGCCTTAGAGGCCTCCTGGATGGGGTCCGAGCGGATGGGGTCGGAGGATCTCGCCGCATCGCCGCTATATCGGCGATGCATCGGCGATGCATCGGCGATGCACTGGCGAAGCATCGCCGACGTGGGCGATGCATCGGCGACGTCGGCGTGGAGAAAATTGGGCCCCACATCGAGCCGCATCGCCGATGTATCGTCGATGCGGCGGCATCCTCCGACCCCATCTACTTGGACCCCATCTGGAGGCCTAGAGATCTGGGCACAATGCGCCGCCAGCTTCCGTCAGCCTGCCGTCGGCCTTCCGCCGCTGGAGGCGGAGCCGAGCCCCTCTGTATACCTCCGCCAGCTTCCGACGGCTCTCCCGCTGGAGGGCGACGAGGCAGCAGCAGCGGCGAGGCCCCTTCTTGGAACGCCTCTCGGTGTGGATCCCCGCTGGGAGGCTCGGTTCGCTTCGTGCCCCGCGGGTGCCTTGACCGATACAGCTCTGCACCAGACACCTGGGCGTCGCCTGCGCGACACTCGAGAATCGAGTCAATCGAGAACCGCCAGGGTGGCGGACCGCCCGAAGGGGCAGCGCGGGCGAGGCCCGAGAGGCCGCCGGGAGGGGGAAGATGAGGAGCTTGTCCTCGAGGAGAGGAGGAGGGACATCCCTAAGGGGGGACCAAATCAGGGGAGGCAGCATTGAGCTGGAATCGGCGATACATCGCCGATAGATTGGCGATAGGGGGCCCCCGATAGCGAATCCACACCTTCCTGGGCGGGCCCCTACTGGCGACCGATGGGCGATTGGGGTAGATGCGTCACCCACTGAGCCCCTCCGCCTCTATGTTTGGTCCCGACGTCAGCCTTCCGCCGCCTTTCCGCCGGCGGAACCAGGCCCGCTCTACCTCTGGCGGCTTCCGCCGGCCTTCCGCCAGAGGGCGGGGCCGGCGCCGAGCGCGAGGCCCCTTCCAGTGACGCCCCAGTGTAGACCGCCACTTGTAGGGTTAGCAACTTTTGCTCAGCGTGTCGCTGCGGCGGCCCTGGCGACACGCAATGACTTCCTGCGAGCGGATAGCGTGTCGCTCCGCTCCGCGGGGCGGGAGGCTCGGACAGACTCGCGACGTTGGAAATCTGGGGAAGTGGTCAGCGTGTCGCGCGGAAGGACGGTGGGCCAGAACCGGCGGCACGACACGCCAAGCCAGAATTCCAGACTGTAGGAGTGAGAGGGAGATTAGTGTTTCCGTAGAGGCGAATATAGTTAACGCGCATCATAAGGACGCACGATAAGGGTGCAAGGGCCTTGGAAGGCCATCTCGAAGCTTTCCGAGCGGGGCGCGGCCAACGCCAGTGGCCAAGGACGAACCGAGGATGCAAGGATGCAAGGGTAACCTTGGAAAGCTTGTCCATCCCTACTATGTGGGGTGGCTGTACAGTCGGGGTGCTGAAAGAAGGAACGTTAATTAAGGAACGAAGCCCCTTCTTGGCCCTGTGAGCGCCTCCGTGCCCCAGGAGGGCAAGAGGAACAGCGCTGGAGGAACCCGAGGATCATCGAGCCCCTTCCGAACCCGAACTGCTCATTAATTTCAGCGTCTTGGCTGTAAGAGGAGAGGAGGTTCGGGCGTCTGAGGGCCAGGAGGTCTCCGACGATCGCCTCGCCGCTGCGGCCCGCAGGACGCGCGGCGGCCGCGGGGCAGCTCGACGGCACGGGCGGGCGGCTCGAGACGCCCGTCTGGGCGGCCTGCAGGAAAAAGAAGAGGAGGGGGAGGAGGAGGAGGAGGGGGAGGAGGAGGAGGAGGAGGAGGAGGAGGAGGAGGAGGAGGAGGAGGAGGAGGAGGGGAGGAGGAGGAGGAGGAGGAGGAGGAGGAGGAGGAGGAGGAGGAGAAGGAGACGGAGAAGGAGAAGGAGAAGGAGAAGGAGGAGGAGGAGGAGGAGGAGGAGGAGGAGGAGGGCAGGAGGGCCCAGAATCCCAGCACGGCGTCACTGTTTGCAACGTGGACCCCCGGGTTGCTGGACCACTTCCCTCGGACTGACTTTTCATCCCGCGCCACCTCTTGACGGCCCTGGTGCCCGGCGAGGCCCCCAAGAGGCCGAACGGGAATCCAAAATCCCCCACCGCGATTGCTTCACAACGAGAGGGGGTCTTGGGAGGAGCAGCAGTTCGGGCATTGCTGCTGATGAAAATAGCTCAAAGCCCCCAAAATGGCGCGAAAAGCTTGGAGCACCGTGGGCCAGGACCACTTCTGCAAGAGATCGTTGTCGGCTTTCCCCGCCCGCCGAAGCAGTGACCTTTGCGGTCTGCGCTGCTCGCAGTGCGAACGGGCGCGTGGGAGGACTGCCTGGAACAGCTTCCGTGGGGCCAGAAGCCCCTCCAGGAGACGCGCCCGGGGAGAAGCGCAACCGCTGCGCCTGCGGCACCGAAGCCCCGCAAGCTGGGACGCCTGGGAGGACGAGAAGGGAGGGAGGGCGGGCATCCCACGGCGCCCCCGCCCGCCCAACCTCGGCCTCGTCTGGCCGCCTGCCGGACGAGGCCGTGGTTCCCCCCGCCGCCACGGCCCGCCTGCCGCACGCGCGGGGCACGCTCACTGGCGGGCGTGCGCGGTGCTGCGGTCCGGCAGCACGTCCATGTGGCACGAGCCGCGCGCGCGGTGCTCCATCCAGTCCTCGAGGGGAGAGGGGGAGGAGAAGCGAGAAGGCAGGGGCAGGAGAAGGAGCAGAAGGAGGAGGAGAAGGAGGATGAGGACCGGGGGGCATGATGAGGAGCTGGCGGAAGAGGACCAGTACAAGCCCAAGATTCGTCAACGATACCGCACTAAACCCTCCATCCAAGTTCCCCCTTTCACATGTTCCTACACGCATTCATTTTCACAGAAGGAAATGTCCCGTTGGAAGACAACCGTTTGAAAATCTGGGACTGTCCCAGAATACCATCCCTGGGACTGCAACGCCGCGAATCACTAATACTGTTGCTGCTTGACGATCCTGATCCGTGCCAGAACACCATCCCTGGGACTTCAACACAGCGAATCAACGTGATTGTTGCACCCCGACATTCTGACATCGTGCCAGAGCACCATTTCTAAGACGTTAACCATGAGAATCCTTGAAGCCCTTGCGAATTCTTGACACAAATGTGCGCGGCGCTAGGGCGAGAGCCACATTTTCTAAACGAACCGCCGTCCATTCGTGAAGCTCTTGCAATTGTTTAACAACGAACGCGCGCGGCGTTGAGGCGAGAACCGCAGTTTGAAAACGGACCGCCACCAACCCGTTAAACTGTTGCAGACTTTTAGATAAAGCAAATGCGCGCGGCGCTAAAGCGAGAGTGGGTATGTCTTGACCAATGCTGTTCAGTCCGCCAATAATCATACATGGACGCATGGGGGACTGAGGACGGAGGAACAGCGGCGAAGGAGGAGGGGGGGACAGGGGGTAGATAAGGCGGAGGAAGAGGAGCATGAGGTGGAGGAGGAGGAGGAGGAGAAGAGAGGGAACGGAAGGGAAGGAACAAAGAGACTGAATGGGGGCGAGGAGAGAGGAGGAGGAGGAGGAGGAGGAGGAGGAGGAGGAGGAGGAGGAGGAGGAGGAGGAGGAGGGGGAGGAGGAGGAGGAGGAGGAGGGGGAGGAGGAGGAGGAGGAGGACGAGAGGAGGAGGAGGAGGAGGAGGAGGAGGGGGGAGGATGAGGAAGCCGAGGAGGAGGAGGGGGAGGATAATGAAGAGGATGACGAGGAACGGAGGAGGAAGACGAACAGGGAGAAGGAAGGAAGGATAATAACGGGCTGATAGGCGGGGACGGGGAGGGTGTGAGAGGGCAAGAAAGGGAATACCACTGGCCATAGTTGCTACCTGATGTTGTGCTAGTGTCTGTTTTGATTGATCCTCTATCTCTCTCCCTTTCTCTCTCTCCTCCCCCTCTGTCTCTTTCTGACTTGCTGCCCTCTCCTGAGCGCCCGCAGCTGTCGCGGTCATCATCGCCCTCGTTTCCTTGCCCGCCGCCCCCTCCTCGTCCCCGACACGGTCCCCTTCGCGACAGCTTCCTTCTTCAGCCTCCCCCGCCCTCCTCTACAGTTACTCAATCTGAATACTGCTCTCCCTCTTCCCCTGATGACGGCTTGGGAGTATTCGACCCCCCCCCGCGTACTGTTTTTTTATACACAGGTTTCCCCGGAGTTGGGTTTTCGCGTGCATTTTTGTTCCAAAATGCTGCTCTCGCTGAGGCGCTGGCCTCATTTTCGGGCCCCGCTCGTTCCGAATCGTGCTCCCGCTGCAGCGCTGGCTTCATTTCCGCCGGCGCCCGGGCTGCGTTCCGGCTGGCGCCGGAAAATCGAGTTCCGAGGCGGCGCCGAAAAAAAACCATTCCAATACACATTTTTCTTTTGAAAATGCTGAATTTCTGCTTCTGGCGCCCGGGAAGCCTCCAAGGCCGATTCCGGCGTGCTTCCGCTCGTTCCGAATCGTGCTCCCGCTGCAGCGCTGGCCTCATTTCCGCGCTTCCGCTCGTTTCGACTCGCGCTCCCGCTGCAACGCTGGCGTCATTTCCCGTGCCATGCCACGGCATGCAATGCAATGCTAGGTTGATACTACGCTTCGCAGTGCTCTTCTACGCCATGCCATGCCGTGCTCTACAATGCATCGCGTACCCTTTCGGGATCATTGCCCTGCTCGACATCCGACTGTGCGAGTAGAGAGGGGATCTCCGCCATGATAAGGGATGGGAGGAGGGGTAGGATGTCAGCTATGACGCGAGCGCGCCTAGCTTGTCCTCCTCCCCTCCTCTTCCTCCGCCAGTGCACTGGGACCGGCCTGGCCACGGAGCGCACGTGGGCCAGCGGGGAGGTCGGGAGTCTAAACCTGGGAGCCTCCGGGAGCCCGGGTCCTGGGAGGCCATGCCCCGCTGCACTCGCAGAGCACGGCCGTCCCAAAACGAGCTGCCGCCATCGCGGACGGCGGCAGCGCCGCCGCACCCACTCGAATGGCGCAGGCGGAGGAGCGGGAGGCGAGGCAGGAGAGGAGGGAGCAAGCAGGGAGAAGAGCAGGCAGGACGAGCAGGATGAAGACGACGAAAAGGAGGATGAGCCAGAGGGAAATACACGATGAAAGGTGGAGGACAACGCCCTCTCGCCTCAATACCATGCGTGTCCGACTCTGGCGGGGGACTGCGAGTCTGGCGAGGTAGGGTCGGACGTGGTAGAATGCAAATCGTGAAATGTCTGCGATTGCGTCGCCAGGCGGGTCTGAACTTCAGTTGCCCGCGCCGTCAAGGCATCTCTCCCGGCGGGGACTTCGCGCAACTGCCTTTGCGCATGGTCCACCCTCGGCCGCAAGGTCTGCGCCGCAGGGGTCGTCAACCCAGTCGTGAGCCCTTGCGACGCGCGGCTCAGACGCGGTCTGTTCGAGCGCGGCGACCCTGGCTGATAACGCAGGAATGGTAGCGACGTGGGAGGGGCCGTGGTTGACTTCTTTCTGCTTGGCAAAACTTGCCGTGGAGGTCCTGCTGGGCGTCGCGAGTCCCGGAGCGTAGCGCAGCTGCGCGGGGTGTAGCCATGCCTCGACGCTCTTGCAGGTGTCCGCGGATGGCGGCGGGCGCTGCGCCTGGCTGGAGTCACTAGCGCTGGCGCCTGTGCCTCTCCATGGGGAAGTCGAGCTCGCGAGCCATTGTGATCTCGAGCAACGAGGACACGAACCATCGATGCTTGGGAGGTCCGACTCGGCAGAGGCGCGAGTTCGACGCAGTCCAGTCCGCGCAAGACACATGATTCTTCGACGCGGGCGATTACCTGAGCAACGACCTCCCGGTCGAGTTGGACGGCCTCGTCTCGTCGATCTCCTGAACTGCCTTGATCAATTCCGAACGCAACAAGGCCGGAACAGAAACGGCAGCGACGATGGGTTGCGCGCGGCTGCGAACTGTTGCGCAGCGAAGGTTTCAACGTGATCTCTCAGCTGGCCCACGTGCTGTTGTAGCACAACTGACAAAGATGCGAGGTCGCCGGTCGCGCGACCCCTGTTGGAAGGGCTGCGCAACAAGGCCGGAACAGAAACGGCAGCGGCGATGGATCTGCGCACGGCTGCGAACTGTTGCGCAGCGAAGGTTTCAACCTGATCTCTCAGCTCGGCCACGTGCTGTTGTAGCACAACTGACAAGGATGCGAGGTCGCCCGTCGCGCGACCCTTGTTGGATGGGCTGCGCAATAAGGCCGAAATAGAAACGGCAGCGGCAATGGATCTGCGCACGGCTGCGAACTGTTGCGCATCGAAGGTTTCAACCTGATCTCTCAGCTCGGCCACGTGCTATTGTAGCACAACTGACAAGGATGCGAGGTCGCCCGTCGCGCGACCCCTGTTGGAAGGGCTGCGCAACAAGGCCGCAACAGAAACTGCAGCGGCGATGGATCTGCGCACGGCTGCGAACTGTTGCGCAGCGAAGGTTTCAACCTGATCTCTCAGCTCGGCCACGTGCTGTTGTAGCACAACTGACAAGGATGCGAGGTCGCCCGTCGCGCGACCCTTGTTGGATGGGCTGCGCAATAAGGCCGAAATAGAAACGGCAGCGGCAATGGATCTGCGCACGGCTGCGAACTGTTGCGCATCGAAGGTTTCAACCTGATCTCTCAGCTCGGCCACGTGCTATTGTAGCACAACTGACAAGGATGCGAGGTCGCCCGTCGCGCGACCCCTGTTGGAAGGGCTGCGCAACAAGGCCGAAACAGAAACTGCAGCGGCGATGGATCTGCGCACGGCTGCGAACTGTTGCGCAGCGAAGGTTTCAACCTGATCTCTCAGCTCGGCCACGCGCTGTTGTAGCACAACTGACAAGATGCGAGGTCGCCCGTCGCGCGACCCCTGTTGGAAGGGCTGCGCAACAAAGCCGAAACAGAAACTGCAGCGGCGATGGATCTGCGCGCGGCTGCGAACTGTTGCGCAGCGAAGGTTTCAACCTGATCTCTCAGCTCGGCCGCGTGCTGTTGTGGCACAACTGACAAGGATGTGAGGTCGCCCGTCGCGCGACGCCCGTTGAAAGGGCTGCGCAACAAGGCCGAAACAGAAACGGCAGCGGCGATGGATCTGCGCACGGCTGCGATCTGTTGCGCAGCGAAGGTTTCAACCTGATCTCTCAGCTCGGCCACGTGCTGTTGTAGCACAACTGACAAGAATGCGAGGTCGCCCGTCGCGCGACCCCTGTTGGAAGAGCTGCGCAACAAGGCCGAAACAGAAACTGCAGCGGCGATGGATCTGCGCACGGCTGCGAACTGTTGCGCAGCGAAGGCTTCAACCTGATCTCTCAGCTCGGCCGCGTGCTGTTGTGGCACAACTGACAAGGATGCGAGGTCGCCCGTCGCGCGACGCCTGTTGAAAGGGCTGCGCAACAAGGCCGAAACAGAAACGGCAGCGGCGATGGATCTGCGCACGGCTGCGAACTGTTGCGCAGCGAAGGTTTCAACCTGATCTCTCAGCTCGGCCACGTGCTGTTGTAGCACAACTGACAAGAATGCGAGGTCGCCCGTCGCGCGACCCCTGTTGGAAGAGCTGCGCAACAAGGCCGAAACAGAAACTGCAGCGGCGATGGATCTGCGCACGGCTGCGAACTGTTGCGCAGCGAAGGCTTCAACCTGATCTCTCAGCTCGGCCACGTGCTGTTGTGGCACAACTGACAAGGATGCG